CTCATGTGCTGGAGGACAGAGCTCTTTTCAGTTTATGACAGTGAACACAAATAAAAAGATGCGGTGACAGAGCATGGATTTCACAATATACCCTATATTCATGGATTCAAAGAGAAAAATTACATCACAAGTCATTGATGGCAAGTAAAGACGTTTGCTATCCCAAGTGTTATGAATGTAAATAACAAATGACATCACCTAAGCCAACTACTCCTAGTAATTTTACGCTACAGAATCACAACTCACTATTATCTATTCTAACAAAAGGAGTGAAAACTTCCTAGATTAATAAAAGAAAACGTTGATTCATTTATCAAGAGGGGACGTGAATTCTAAGTGAAATCAACTCGCCAGCTCTTCCTTACGAGTCCGTTTCGAGCGCCTGAACTCTCTCTCTCACCACCTCAGCTGAGCACACCACCAAACCCATAGAAAGATGTTCTTTCCTACCATTTCGACGTGAACCAGGTCAGTTCTGCCCCAGGGTACCAGGAGATTTGAGCGAGGATGGCCACCGGTGCCGCTCGGTCTCAAAGGGGGTCCCGTTCGGGTACAGCTGGACACGCCGAGGCTGTCTGGGGTGGGCTTCAAGCTACAGATGAGAAAGTCGGTTYGGCTCTAGATGGATCGGACTGAAGTTCTGGTCAGTTCAGTTTCTCGAAAAAATCGCGTCCCTACACTACAAAAATTAAACAAAAAAAAATAATTAAATAAAAATAAATGTCCCCGAAGGGAATGAAGGAACTTGAAAATCCTGGTCCGTTCTCTCTGGCTGCTGTTTCTAGACCACTTGAAATAATAAAAATGTTATCTCTTGTCCTGACTTTACAAACTTCTGATTAGCTGAGAGAGTCACATGGGGTGTTACCCGCTTCACTGACATCATGGTTCTGCTGCTAAAATGATTGAACAAAACACAGATTGACGTGGTTACCTGTACAGTGATTAAATCAAGATATTATCACAGTGATTGAGTCATGATAGAAAAATACATTTTTCTTTTTCTTCTTTTTTTTTTATCAGACAACCAAACAACAGAAATTTACCCAGAAAAACATTTGCTCATGATGTGATTTTGAGACTAGCCTTTAGAGGCGCTCTAAGACCATAAATGAGATTGTATGTTAGGCATGTCTTTGAAGATTGTTCATGGGCATTATCTCAGCAGGGGACACAGTCTCTTAGGGTCTAGATGTAGATTGTAAACCCACTTCTGGAGACTTTCTGTCTGGGCATATGGTTGGTCCTTTGTTATAAACGGCCATTTTGAACACTTACAAGGGATCTCACAACAGGGCTTAATCAATGGAAGGTTGCAGTTCCTGTTTATTTTAGCATTTATAGACAGTGGAGAAAAAGGGCGAGACCAGTGGAGAAAGCCATTGTTCTCCATAGATATGAGTGGAGGAGTTGTAGTCATTTCGCATTTGGAATCTTTGTTTGCTGGTCTAAGGCCACAGATTCCAACGGTGTTATCACGCACAAAAGGTTTGCTTGGACAGAGATAATGGATGTCATGGGTGAGAGTACACATGCGGAGGTTAGGTGCTAAGTACAGATCCGGATTATCGTCATAATAAGCGATGAATGGAGGGAGTATTTATTTTGATATGGTTTTCACCATTCCAGCGTCCGACGTTTACATCTTTCATACGGTAAATGTTTTCAGGGCGTATTACTGTCCGCTCACCTGAAAAATAAATGGATAAATACATAGAAAAAAATATACACATACCCATACATATATAAAGATATACGTACATACATGCCTACATTCATAAATATTGTCCGTATATACACATAGACATATAAACACACTCAGTGACCAGTCAGAACCCCCCGGATCAGAGCACCTGTTTGTGAGCAGTTGTGAACATGCATGTATATACAAGATTTCCATCAGAAGGCCATCAGAAACCGGGACCAACACCCACCCAGAGCCACCCAGACCCCCAAAACTTGACCCCAGCCCCATAGCCGGCCCGCCGCTCAGAGAGGCCACCGCTCSCCATCAAGGATGGCCCAGCCAAGAGTGCCCACCCGACCACCGACAGAGCAAGGGGGCACCCAGGGGGGCCCCGCCACAGCAAAGGGGCAACCAGCCAGCCCAGCACGGCCCCCACCCACCACCCACGACCACCAACCCAATACCAACCCAGAAGACATACTACACCCACCCCAACATTCGGGCCACTGTCAGAACATGGGCGGCACGACGGCTCAGTGGTTAGCACCGACGCCTCACAGCATAAAGGTCCTGGGTTCGATCCCCGGTTCAGACCTGGGGTCTTTCTGTGCGGAGTTTGCATGTTCTCCTCGTGCTTGCGTGGGTTTTCTCCGGGTACTCCGGTTTCCCCCACAACACAAAAACATGTACAATAGGTTGCCTTCAGGCCCAGGCCGCCCTTGAAAAAGAGATCTGAGATCTCAATGGGATTTGCCTGGTAAAATAACAGTAAATAAATAAATAAAGAACATATAACACAAGGACAGGGTAATCTCTGCTTAAAAAAATTTCCACGTCGTTTAAGTAAGCTTTGGTGTCATGTGACGTCCCAGGTGTCGGGTCAAAACGAGAGAAATTTAGGGGTATTTTGTGTAGATGGTGAGAAGTAGGTCTACGTGAAACGTAGGATCTCGGCTGATGAGGTGAGGGGTCTCATCCTCCTGCACCTATAGTGTCAGGGGTTTGAATGTGATGTCTCTGGTATCTTTCAGTTAGTAGCACGTACTCACCTGAACGTCCAACTATGGGGCCAAGAGGTTGAGTGTGACGTCTATGGTCTCCTCCAATTGACGGCACATACTCACCTGGGCGTTCATCTCTTCCTTCTTGTCTGTCATCTTGATCTGAAGAAGAAGATCCAGCTGCCAGGTTGGTGACAGGAGAAGGTGGTCCAGCTCTGTGGCAAAGATCAAAGCTGGAAGTGGTAAGAGGTTTACTTGTCAAAGTTCTAATTCTGTC